TGAGGAAGAGCAAGCAGTCAGACCAGCACTGAAAGTTCTCAATAATGGTGAATGGACACCAACTCTATAGCATTATCTGTCAGACACTGAAGAATCTCTTCTAAATGTTAGGCAACACCTGGCTAATGGTATGGTCATGGTGAATCGTGGGCTTAGAAAGCACATGACTATCAAGAACAAGTATGCCACGTCTAAGCATGCTAAGATCGGCGCTCTGGCACAGCTAAATTCTGCACTAGTTCAAGGTCTAGCCAAGGCTGTGGCAAAGGTGTAACTGTAAACATGAGTTGGAGAACTATAATAACTGCAAATAAAATTGGCACCATCTGCCATCTCTACATTATATGTTACCTTTACTAATGTATAATAAAGTTTGGGGTCCTTTTTACTTCTTATACCTTAAAAAAAACACCTAAAAAAAGAAATAAACAATTCCATTCATGATAGCATCAAAAATAATAAAACACTTAGGAATAAATTTAACCACGGTGATAAAATATCTGTATACTGACAACTACAAGAATTGGCTCAAAGAAAATGAAAAAGATAAAAATGAATGGAAAGATACCTCCTATTCTGCATCAAGAGAATATCATTAAAATGTCCATATTACCCAAAACCATCTATATATTCAATGCAATCCCTATCAAAATGGAAATGACATTTTTCATAGAAATAGAATAAACTATTCTTACACGTGATCTTAGCCAAAAGGCCGAGAAGTGATTAGAATAAACTATTCTTAAATTTGTATGGAGCCACAAAAGACCCTGAATGGCCAAAGCAATCCTAAGAAAGAACAAAGCCTGAGGCAAACTATACTACAAAGTTATAGTAATCAAAACAGTATGGTGCTGGCATAAAAACAGACACATGGACCAATGGAACAGAATTGAGAGTCCAGAGATTAATCTCCACATACGTGCTCAACTAATATTTGGCAAGGGAGCCAAGACTACTTAATAAGGGGAAAAGATAGTCTCTTCAATAAGTGGTGCTAGAAAAACTGGATAACCACATGAGAAGAATGAAATTCTTCTGTATTACACTACTCACAAAAATGAACTTGTAATGTATTAAAGACTTAAACGTAAGGTCTGAAACCATAAAAATCCCACAGGAAAACATGAGAAGAAAACTCCTTGACATTGGTCTTGGCAGAGATTTCCTGCATATGACACCAAAACCACAAACAATGAAAGCAAAAATTAATGACTAGGACTGCAAACCAAAAACCTTCTGCACAGTGAAGCAACCAACAAACAGCATGAAAAGGCAACCTACTGAATGGGGTAAAATGTTTGCAAATCATACATTAGATAAGGGGTTAATATCTAAAACATATGAAGAACTCTTAGAACTCAGTAGCAAAATCGAGCAATCCAATTAAAAATTAGGTAGAGGAATTACACAGACAGCTTTCCAAGGAAGACATACAAATGGCCAACAGGTACACGAAAAGGTACCCAACATGACTCATCATCAGGGAAATGCAAATCAAAACCGCATGAGCTACCATCTCACACCTGTTAGAATGGCTAGTATCAAAAAGATAAAAGATAACAAGTGTTGGCAAGAATGTGGAGAAAAGGGACCCCTTGTGCAATGTTGGTGGAAATATAAATTGGTGCAGCCACTATAAAAACAATATGTAGGTTCCTTGAAAAATTAAAAGCTATAACGAGAACTATCTTACAATCCAGTAACCCCACTTCTGGGTATATATGGAAAAGACTTGGAATTAGTATCTCATAGGGATACCTGCACTCCCATGTTCCCTGCAGTATTATTTCACAAGAGCCACGATGTGGAACAGCCTAAGTGCCCCGCAACAGGTGGATGGATAAAGAAGATGATTTATAAATATAAAATGGAATATTACTCAGCCATGAAAAAGAAAGAAAGTCTGCCATTTGTGGCAACCTGGATGAAACTTGAGGGCATAATGCTAAGTGAACTAAGTCCAGCAAAGAAAGGCAAATACTGTGTGATTTCACATGTATGTGGAATCTATCAAAGTTGAACTTGGAAACAGAGTAATGCGGTGGCTACCAGGTGCGGGAGTGTGGAGGACATTGAGAGCTATTGGTCAAAGTATACAGATTTACAGTTAGGAGATGAACAAGTTCTGGGGATCTAAGGTACGGAATGGGATTATGGCTAATCATATCGTATTATATACTTGAATGTTGCTAAGAGACTAAATCTAAAATGTTCTCACCCCAAACATCAATGGTAATTAGGTGACAGGACAGAGGTGTTAAGCTAATGATATGGTGGTAATCATTTTGCAAAATATGAACGTATTAAATCAACCCTTTGTACATCGTATGGATTACTGAGGTTTAAGAATCCAGCTCTTTTGTAACCAACATTATAAGAATCGATTCAGTGAAATTTCATTAGTGTATGCTAAAATGTCTGGGTAAAAGGCTGTTGGAGAAAATGAGATTCATATGGCCACGGAGTATTCCCCAAATGTGATTTACTAGCTACAAAAGTAAAATGAAACCTTTACATACATAACAGAGAAATCTGGTGATGAAACTTAATACCACCAAAAACAGGACAAACTGAGAGTACTTACCCCCTAATGCAACGCAATGAGGATACAAAGTCACCTGTACATAGATGACAGAGTAAATGATAGTTCTGTATCAGTGTTAAATTTCTTGGATTTGTTCATTGCCTTGTGGTTATATAGGTAAAAGTTGTTCTTTGGAAAAACATCATTTGGTGAATAATCACGTTGTAATGCTTTAAATATCTTACAATTTTATTGGTCAATTATATCTCATTAAAGCTGAAGAAACATTACAAATAAATATAAATAAATAAAAGTAAAAATAAGCATGGATTGGGTTAGCTAGCGTTTCTAAACTAAGAGACAAGATTTCTTTTTTACAGATTTTATTCGTTCATTTGAGAGAGACAGACAGAGAGAGCACAAGCAGGGGGAGAGGCAGAGGGACAGGCACCAATCCTCCGGCATAAACCGGAGGATTATACCACTGCTGTTACCCGGTGAGAGTGCATAACCTGTACCTAGCACAATAGCTTTGAAAATATCCTAGGTTACTCACACTTTGGTGAATCTGCTCGTGTGGTAGAAAGAACGTGGACTTTTTTTTTTTTTTTACCAGAAAGGTGTGCATTAATGTTGACACAGTTCCACAGTAGTTGTGAGATGGCTTGTGCCTATCATTTGTTTGGCTTAGACGAGGATGTTTTGCTAAATGTTAGCTAACTGTGTTACAGACATTTGTTTCGGGTGCTGGCCTCTGCTCCACTGGCAGCTCTTGCCAACCCCCCAGAAGAACACATGCCCACACGTCTACCCATTTCCCACACCAGGCAGATCCTAACTGATGATTCATTCAGAACAACGGCCAAGACCGAACCGTGAGCATACGGGTATATTCACAGTCTGATCTGCTGACACCTAACTGCAAAGTTAGAGCCTACAAAACGAGTGGAAGTGAAAGAAAGAGGTCTCATACAAGATCTTCTTTGCCTCTGAGATTCTGTCCACAACATGAGGTGACACTCTTGTCTCCTCCCAGTGCCGTGAGGGTCACCAGGCCATGAGCACCAGACTCGGTACTTAGTTTTCCCTTCCCAGCCCCTAAACAGTGACACGTTTGGCCCATCACATGCAAAAACACAGAGAATCTCAGCCCCACTGGGGCAGAGCCCGTCTCTGCTGTGTGAATCCACCCTTTTAATACTAAGAAGATCAATAACACAGACACCAAGAGAGCTCATTCATTTTAACAGTCGAGCACAACTTTATTAAATCTTCCTAGGAATCATCTCCCCGGCCCCCCCCCACTATCCAAATACAACAGCTACAAGTATTCAAATTTCATAAATGCAATATTGCAAAGGCAGGGGAACTAAGAAAAGCCTTCATAGTGCTGAGATAAAACAGTGCTTAATCATGCTCTCAGTACATGTTACTAAATGCTAAGTACTAGAAACCAGAAGAGATCTATGGGCAGCTGGCAGCCGGCGGCTTGGGAGAAAGATGGATGACAAGCAGGGTAACACAGGACAGTGCTTTCTGTTCCGGTAACTCTGTTGATATCCAGTTTAAAAAACAAACAAACAAACAAACAACCCTGGAGACACACTTTCAGAGCCCAAATGGACCACGGAGGGTAGAGAGGGCCAAGGTTCTCAGACGCCTAGAACTGTGGTTCCCCGTCTTGATCTCACTCTAGTGGAAAGAACTGAGTCTGTGAGGACCAGAGCCTGTGTCAGAGTAATAACACAATGAAAATTTGCTGAATGAATGAACTGATACCTGGCTGCAGTGTGAACAGGCCAGGCCTAAGTTTCTCTGAGTAAAAGCTTTGCTGGGACGTTTTGGGGAGGCAACATGTCCACGGCAAGCCTGACTTCTCAGGATGGACCTTCGGTGAGCTGCACATCCTGGGAGTTTGCCCAAAGGAGCAAGCAAGTTCTTACTACTGTATCCTGGTCGTCTGAATATGCCCACCCAGCATCAAAATTTGCAGCCAGAACCTCAGGTTCAATACCACATGCTCATTTTATGTTGATTACTATGGAATCTGGGGTGGAATGTGACTAGTGTGAGACCCCCCCCACCCCTCCCTGTCCCTTTTGTCTTTTTCGCTTTCAATCGCCTTCCTCCTGTTCTCTTTCCCCGTCCTCCCCTTTTCTCCTAACCCAGTCTTGTGCCCATCCCCCAGCTTTCTTCTTTCTTCCTCATTACCAAGGTTAAGTAGTTCTAAATATCTGTGGCTCCACAGGGTGGGGCAAGTAAAGCTATTTTTAGTTTCCAGAAATAAGAGCAGTTCCAAGAAAAACAAAAAACAAAAAAACCTATTCCTGGCCACACTAACAGTGATTTAGAGACTCTCTCTTGAACTCATGCATATCTAGAACATTCTACTGGGTGTGAATTCAACACACAGTAAGCTGGGGATTTTGGCTTCTAGGACATAAATTTGATGATGATGATGATGATGATGATGATGATGATGATGAAGATGATGTAAAAATAAACCAGTATTCACACAAGTAAGAGCCATTTTGTGTGTGTATTTAAATAAAACAAGGGGTAGGTGCTATTTTAAAGTAGCTGGGCATACCGGATAAATCTTTGGCACAATTCTTAGTTTAAGACTTTAAATTATTTCGACTTGGGCCTTATATGGTTCTAAATGTCTTTTCATTCATTCATTCATTCAGTAAACTTTCACTGAGTATCCACTCTGCCAAACATCCTTGTAAATGCTCTGATGGCCATCCTGTCACTCTTAAGTGTTCAATCCTTCTTGGCATATATTATCTCCTAAATATTTGGAAGATTTCATTCACTATGACGACAATGATTACAAAGATAACACAAGACGGAAAATGAATGGCCACTCCCTGGATTGTTGCTTCTTTTGGGGAGTACATGAGCCTATCTCTAGGCGGCCTGGTATCACAGAAAGACCCCCAAACCTGGGGCTGTATGGACTAGATGTGGTCCACGCTTCAGAATCTTTGGGAAGTTACTTCCCCATTTTGAGTCCCTATTTTTTTTTAATCCTAAATACTGAGTCCAGGAACCCTTGCCCTACCTTTCTCTGGCATTATTGTGAGTGAAACATGAAATCAAGTTTGTAAAAGTGCTCTGAAAACCATAAAGCCCCATACGAATGCGAATTATCACTATCAAACGATCTTTAACATTCCTTTCAGGGAAAACCTTCCCCTTATAGCTTCATTTTCTCTCTTTTTTTAAGGATGGGGGCGGGACTTACATGATCAGCTAGCATTATTGGGTTAGGTACTTGGTGGCATAACCCACACTGATCTCACGAGAAGACAGCAGTTAGAAGTTTTCCTTGTTGAAAATGAAATGCACTCCCCGGGGGCCAGACTCAGAGTTGGAGATGCACTGTTTACTGAGGGTTTCAGCTAAGGCTTCAGGTCCGCAGAGGAAAACTCCTATTCTGGTACTTCAGGGGAAAGAAAGGAAAAATAAAACAGTGTCAGGCTTTTGGATGAGACAGACTACAAAGCACGTGAGGGCATTTCCTCTTGATTTTAGGCTCTAGTGGGGACGTCTGCCGCAGAAAAAAATGGTGGTGAAGTGATGTTTGGGGACTGGTTCCCTTCGGGGCTCCATAACAACTCTGCCAACAGCTGGGTGCGGCTTTATCCTTCTCTGTTTTAGACTCTAAAGCCTAGTTCCTCAAGGTGTGGTCCCAGACCAGTAGCTTCCTAGTCAGCTTTTTAAGAATGTAGATTCTCAGGGTGCCTGGGTGGCTCAGTCGGTTAAGCATCTGCCTTTGGCTCAGGTCATGATCTCAGGGTCCTGGGATCGAGCCCCACTAGGCGGGGAGTCTGCTTCTCCCTCTCCCTCTGTCCTTCCCCCTGCTCATGCTCTCTCACTCTCTCTCCCCCGACCACTTTGTGTGTCAAATAAATAAAATCTTTTTAAAAAGAATGTAAAATCTCATGTCCCACCCCAGACCCACTTAGTCAGCATCTGCCTTGTGAAAAGATCCCCAAATGGTTCTTAGACTCATTAAAAGATAAAAAGCAAAGGTGTGAAGGGTATATTTGTGGTGATTTCTTGAGTTTATCATGTGTTCTAGCAAGATAGAGGATCTCCTCAAACTTCCAGAATGGGTACAGCTTTAATGAAGGCAGAAAGGACTTTAGGATGTCTGGCAACTTATGATTTTAGACCCCAAAACTAAAACTGAAAGTGGGCACCATATCTCCTTAATGATAAAAGTCTAAATCATATTGAATGAAAAGAAGTAGATACACCAGTGAGATTTAGGAGCCAAAAGAAAAGAGCTAAGTTATGGCCTCACTTGGGAGGGTTCAGAAAGGCAGACATGAGCCCCCCCCCCCCGAGCATCTTTGTTTATAATAAGTAATTATTATAATTACTTATTATAATTATAATCCAGGTAAATTTGATAATTATTATAATTACTTATTATAATTATAATCCAGGTAAATTTGATAATTATTATAATTACTTATTATAATTATAATCCAGGTAATTTTGGTGTGCTCTAAAGCCTCCCTTGTAAAGTCATATTTATCTGGAAACTTTTATTGGGTGTGAATACAGTAATCTAGGTATTTTAGTTTTCAGAATATACAAGTCTAGCTGTGTTTGGGAGCTCCCTCTTTCGGTGAGAGCAAATGGGCTAGATCACCCAACTCCTTACTTTGGGTGTTGACTCGCGATTGTCTTGAATTCATTATCCCAGTTGGGTCGTCCATACAAGGTCTTTTGTTTCAGGCCTGTGATCACATCTTTCTCCTCGTCATGGTGCACAGCAAAGTGATCGGCCTGTAGGAAAGGACATGAATTCACAAAAAAGAGACAGGCTGTAAGGAAAACACAGCTATATTTACGTATCTCACAAGCCAAGTTCTCACTACCCATTCTAACCATATATATATTTGAGGGCTAGAAGGTACACAAAGATGAACAAACTGGGTCTCCTCAGGGAAATTACAGTCTAGAAGGGCAGACCTTGAAGTGTGAGCATGAATAATCCTTTTTGCAGAACATGGTATCACGAGTGCCACAGGAGAGGTACAAATATCTCAGTGAGAGCGAAGGAGGGAGGTGGGATAGGATGGATATAGGAAGACGAGGTTGGAAGCACTTGGCATCGAGCATTGAAGGTGTGGGTAGGATTTAAATTCTGACTGTTTTTCTCCCTGTTCTACATGTGACTTTCTCTCTTGACCCTAATAGACTCCCACTCCTTTAGGAGAATTGCTAAGGACTAAAACAACCACAGACTAAAATGCACTCATATCTTGGCAACATAATGAGACAACAAATCAAGCCTAATGCTAGTGTGTGTGTGCGTGTGTGTGTGTGTGTGTGTACATAGTCACCTGTTGTTTTCTGCTACCATTCTACAGGGTCTCAGTTTGAACAACAGATATTTTTCATAAAAGTGGTTAATTACATTTATTTAAAACTTGAATCAGATTTTAAATTCACCGGACAGGGGATGGTTGATGGGGATGGAGGAGGTTAAGAAGGGTGACCACTGTGGTTTAATAATCCTATAGGGACTAATTTTGTAAAGCAAAATAGTTATCTTGCAATGCAAATAAATTTCTCATCTAAAAAACTGTGTCCGGTATTTTAAATAATAAAACTGCAAAGTAATTTATAAATTATAGATTTTTCCCCTGGGTTTCATTTTTTTATCAAATATTTGCTGTTTTGTTTTGTTTTTAAATTGCAGAAATGGCATTTGAAATCCTTTTTTCTGGAGCAACAATGTTCGCGGTCATGCGTTCCCAGATCTACAATTGCAACAAGACTCTTCTAAGACTTGGAGGATCGATGATAAACAATATGCCAAAACCCAAATGAAGGGTCAGTTTTCACAATCCAAGGTACTCGTGAAAGTTGCCCAGGAGGGAGGAGGCAATGTGTGGCTATGGCCACCTTTCTCCCTGACACCAGCCAGGGACAGACAGAAACTCTTGTCTTAGCTCCTTATGCAGGGTGAGCTCATGCTGCTTCTGCTGCTTCCAGGCCAAGTCATTGATGTTTGCTTATTTAGAAAGATTTTAGGGGCACCTGGGTAGCTCAGTCAATTAAGCGTCTGCCTTTGGCTCAGGTCATGATCCCAGGGTCCTGGGATAGAGTCCAGCATCAGGCTCCCTGCTTGGCAGGGAGTCTGCTTCTCCTTCTGCCTCTCCCTTTGGCTTGTGCTCTCTATCTCAAATAAATAAATAAAATCTTCAAAAAAAAAAAAAGATTTTACCCCCTAGGAATCATTAACTTGTTTCAGAGTTTTTCAATTTCAGCACTTTCGATATTTGAGACCAGATAATTCTTTGTTGTGGGTGAGCTGTCTTATAAATTGTAGAATGTTTTCATTATTAACATGGGAGCTACACACACACACACACACACATACATATATAATGTGTTATGTTTTATGCATTATATGTTATATTACACACATACACAGACATATATGCTATATACATATGCACACATATATCATCTTCATTAAATATATTCTGATTTATTGATAAATGATAATCATGAACTAGTAGGAGTTTCTAAGAGTGCAGACTTTGGAACATTCTGCCTCTGTCTCTTACTAGTTGGGTGCCCTTGGACAAATGACTTAACCTGTTCTGGGCTTTGCTTTCCTTGTCAGTAAAGTATGGAGAATAATACTAGCTACTTCATAAGGCTGTTGTAAGGACTGAATTTGACAATCTATGTAATCACTAATAAAAATACCTAACACACGGGATATGCTTAAATAACTATGAGCACTTATTATTACTATTTACTAAATGTATTGTGTGTATTGTAAAATAGACATGAACATAAAATTAAAGGAATATGTATGTGTGTACAGATATAAAGATAGAGGTAGAGATAGGCATAAAGAGAGGGAGAAAGACAGCTAATATTTTCTTCCCATTACCCTGTGGATCGTCTTGTCCAGGTGGTTCGAGACCCTTGGAAGAAGCATGACTCTAAGAAGGTCAAAGTCACGGCTCTTATTCCCTTTGGGCTCCCTAGCTTTGATCTCTTCCACAGATTCCAGCTTTGAATCTAATCTCAAGAGTCTGAACATGTGTGGACACTGAGTGAGAGTGGACAGGCTGGATCTCCCAACTCCTCCAACTGTTCTTGGTAAGAACGGAATACGGAACACTCCAGTAACCGAAGGGAAGTCGGTCTGCCCCGAGGAACTGTGGGAAGGACGCGAGATCTCAGCTTTCGCCCTCACCTGAGACTCATCCCAGCCCGTGAGATAGATGTTATAGCTGAGGAAGCCGGCGTTGTTCCTCTCCTGCATCTGGGTCTCTAGAAGCTGCAGCAAGTCCGCAAACCACTCAAAGGCGTGTGTGTCCCGGCACAGCCAGTAGAAGTATATCTGCAAAAGGCCTCATCAGAATGGACAGACGGGTTTCTACCCCACCCAACCCTGCAACCTTTCCCTGTTTCCCTAGAAACATAGGTTTTCAGAAAGCTCTGGACATCTCACAAGCTAACTCACATGAACCTGCACAGGCCTTCACCCCATGGGGCAGTAAATACCTTGGTCTCAGAAATGCATGGCTTAGGAAAACAACATCAGCTCAGTGCTGTCCCTCTGGGTCTGCTCTTGGCCACCTCAAATCCCTGGCTTCTTCTGTCCCGCCTCTCAGAAAGCCCAAGGGGCTCTAGGCTAGCTTCACTGCCCGCTAATGCCAGACATTCCTGAGTTCCTGGGGGTGGGGGGCTGCTCTCCCCATACCTTCTCCATGTAACAAAGAGAGAAAGGGGAGAACAAAAAGTCACCGTATGCTCAATGTCCCTATTCGAGGTTATCTCTAAAGTGATTCGAATGACTCACGTTTTATTCAAGATGTCCTTTACTGGGCAATGAAACCAAATTTACATGTGACCAAAAAATGCCCTGGGAATTTACTCTGAGGAGATACCCATAAGAAAGTAAGTACAAGTTTCATGAAAGGGCGTGTTTCCTGCCCTCCCCTTGCAAAAAAGAAAAAAAAAAAGGTATTGGGGAACCGAAAAAAGAATCAATCTCAATATCTAATACAGGATGATAGAAAAATGATTCTGTACCCTCTCGATGGAACATAAAGGAATCATTAAAAAGAATCATTATAAAGCCTGTGACAACACTGAAAAAACACTATGTTTTTTTTTCGAAAAAGTATACATACTCAATATTTACAACTTTCCAAGAGTATGTAAACATGTGAGAAAATATTGGACCAGAATCCACAAAAAGGGTGGCTACTGCATTAGGGTTGCTAACACTTTCCGTCCCCACTACCTTTCTTCCCAGTTTCTTCTAATGCTCTCCAAGTGCTGTATACTACTTGCAATAATAGACCTGCTTATTTATAAGCACATTTGACTTATCAAACAGCCCTTTTATGAGAAGTCTGTCTCTCTGGAACCACCCGGAACTTGTCTTCACTTCCTTTGGTCTCCAGCCAGCCTCTGCCCAGAAGGCTCTCTCCCACTTTGCTGGGCCGAGTGGGAGGATTGCCCCCAGCCCTTCGAAAAAAACGAAGGGACTCACCTTTTTGAGTCTCAGATTTGTGGCGTTGTTGCAGTATTTGTACCAGACAGACTTGAGAATGGATGCAAAGGGTGTGACCCCAATCCCTGCTCCCACTAACATCACCACCTCATAACTGAACACATCTTCACTGGCTGTGCCGAAGGGCCCGTCCACAGCTATCCTGCAGGGAAGCGTGTGAGGAGATGGTTAGAGGGTCACCTCGCACTGCAGAGTAGGATGAGGCACAGCTTATGTCACACCAAACTGGGACAATGTATCAACAGGGCACACTCTTCTATGAAATGGCTTTCAACTTGGTGTCAACATTGTGGTTCGAAGTAAGAAGAGGAAGTTTTAGCTAACTGAAAACATTTGGTAACTCTCAGGGGCATTTTTTTTAATCTCTCCACCCTTTCACCTACCACCCCCCCACACACACATACACACACACCTGTACCTCTTGCCAGGGCATCCCACAGTTGAAATTCCTGCTTACATTGAACGCTGAAGTAAAGTGCAAATTTTCTGTCATAGCATCTTGTGAATTTAATATCTTTACTTTTCATTTGTCTATTCATTGAGTCAAGCAACAAGATTTTCTTGAGCATCTACTAAGTGCCCGGCACCATCTCAGGCACATGGGAAGAAGGGGGCAAAGTGGATAATATATGGCATTTACCCTCAAATAACATAGGTCAATTAAATTTTAAGAATATCCTTGATGGGGCACCTTGATGGGTCAATTAAATTTTAAGAATATCCTTGATGGGGATCAGTTGGTTAAGCAACTGCCTTCAGCTCAGATCATCATCTCAGGTTCCTAGGATCAAGCCCCATGTCGGGCTCCTTGCTCAGCGGGGAGCCTGCTTCTCCCTCTCACTCTGCCTGCTACTCTGCCTGCTTGTGTACTCTCTCTATCAAATAACTAAAAATAAAAATTTTAAAAATAAATAAAACAAACATATCCTGATGAGATGTGTTCCCTCTATCTTTAAAAAAAAAGAATATCTTTGATACACTATAACTTTGTTTGTTAGAAAAGTTAATATACCTTGGCCTTGACCCTTATATATTTAAAGGAATTTGGGAACACTCATTACTAATATTTGATTCAAGTATTTTCTATTTCACACAAGATTTATAAGTATATGCTTAAACGCACCACACACATAAAATGGGGAACACTGACATAGCTACCTTTATTTGTAGAACTTGTGTGTTTGCTCACGCCCAGGAGACAGTGTAGTGAGAGATGGGAAAAGGGGAGCTATTGGGGGACAGTTTTCATGAACTTGTACACTTCTGTAAATATGCTCTTTGTACTTACTTAGGTAGTTTCCAAGCATCCTGAAACTCCTGCTTATCACAGCCACAAGCATTGAAAAGTCCTTCCGTCCAGTCCCCAACGATCCGAATATGGATGCTGAAGAAGTCTTCCTCAGGGGCGGAGGTCAGTGTGAAAGGGTGCCACTCCAGCCTGGACACCTTGGGGCACTTGACAAAAATGTATTGTCCCACCTCCATCTTGAATCCCTTCTTCTTCATCTGTAGCTCGATGGTTTTGAAAGGGTGAGTGACCACCTACAAACAAAACATGTCTCTGGGGGGCACCTGGGTGGCTCAGTGGGTTAAGCCTCTGCCTTTGGCTCAGGTCATGGTCTCAGGGTCCTGGGATCAAGACCCGCATCAGGCTCTCTGCTAAGCAGGGAGCCTGCTTCCTCCTCCTCTCTCTCTCTCTGCCTGCCTCTCTGACTGCTTGTGATCTCTCTCTCTCTCTGTGTCAAATAAATAAATAAAATCTTTTAAAAAAAGTCTCTGGGGGCACCTGGGTGGCTCAGTGGGTTAGGGCCTCTGCCTTCGGCTCAGGTCATGATCCCAGGGTCTTGGGATCAAACCCCACATCGGGCTCTCTGCTCAGCAGGGAGCCTGCTTCCTCCTCTCTCTCTGCCTGCCTCTCTGCCTCCTTGTGATCTCTGTCTGTCAAATAAATAAATAAATAAATATTTTTTTAAAGATGTCTCTGGAAACTACAATTTCCCCCAAATACTTGTCTTTTCAGTGTCCATATGGACAAAAGGTTGAGCTAAGATGCCCCCACACATCCCCTCTGCAAGCCCAAAGAGGCATTTCCTTGAATGCATGCATCTCACCTCTCCTGGTTTGTGCTCAGCTGGAGCCCATGGCCTGCCAACTCCCAGACATCTCCCCAACCCACTCCCTGGAGGATCCGCTGAGGCTGCAGCTGCAACCGACTGAGGGCCATTCATTTCCTCCCCAAGCCTGGCCATCTTTCCTTTTACAGGTTCATCTCCTCAGAAAACACCTCCATCAACCCTGTGTCTGCAACTCTCTGTCTCCAAGTCTTTGCCAGGGAGTCCAGCCTAAGATATCAGCCTACTGTGATATTTTTTCTCCAAAAAGTCAAGGCATGTGCTAGAAACAGGAAGAAGAGATGGCTGCCTGCTCAGCCTTCCTGTCTCCCCAGGGGACGATCGAGAGCAGCTGGATAGAAGAAGGGGACCCTATTGGCTGGCAATATAGCAACATCCCCCAAACCAAGCCAAATGTACTCATCTTTGTCCTGAGTCATACCTTGAGCCTGCCTGATTGCATGCATTGTGTTTACATTTCTACCTATCTGGGAAGTACATCATCGGTCTATCCCAAAGTCCTGCTCCCACCCACTCATTGCCATCCTCATTCTCCGTGTGTACAAGGGTTCATGACAGCTTTGTTTGTAACAGCAAACAATTGGAAACAGTCCAAACACCCATCAGCTGGTGAGGTGGTAAATAATTAAAAAAAAAAAGCAGTCCAATGAAAAGCTGTCATTACAATACAGAGAGTAATACATCGTTTCTGGGACAATTTCTGAGATACCGAGGACTTTCTATGTACAACTAAAAAACAAACCAAAGGGCATCAAGGCAAAGAAAAATCAATAGAAACAAAATTGCAGCTCCCTAAGTGTTGACTGATGGTGCCAAGCTTTTCTTTCTATGAGTGAGGAGGGGTAAGACAGGAAATCCTTTCAATAAATATTGCCAAGCATTTCCAAAACTTGTGGTTTCACTCCATCTTAAATGATTAAGCAGTACCCAACATCCTTTCATCACCGAAATAAAGAAGCTTAAAGCTTCATTTGAAGCCAAAAAATAAAAATCGACAAAAATTATTTTGAAAATGATGTTTACCATGTTGTAATTTTGTATGGTGAGAACATTCTTTTGGCTGCCCCAGGTGAAACTGGGATTAAACGAAATAAAACACACTAGCAGAACTGACACCTTGTTTCTTAGTTGTTTTTTACTTTTTTTTTTTAGAAGAAAATGAATATCTGTTTTTATGAGAAGAAAACGAGTTTCTATTTTCTCCACAGGAAAACAGATTCGATTTTAAAGTATGTTCGAGGGAAATACTTGCCTGCTTAGTCGGGTCTAGCCTAGTAAGGGAAATTTTGTGGCAGCCTTTTTTTGCTCTTCTGTGGGCTTTTTCTTTTCATACAGTATAAGTATCATAGAAGGAGAACTGCTATAGCTTCCTATATTTCATGATTTCCAGTGCCAGCTGGACTAACTTTACTCTGGCCTTGCACAGATGCCAAGAAAGAAAAGCTAGGGAGGACAGGGAGAATTCATGTGTTTCGCAAGAATAACCCATACTAGGCTTTTAGTAAACACTTTTTGAACTGTATTGAGTTGAATTCAATTTTATTGGATGAAACTGGTTTTGTCTCTTGTTTCCTGAAACTATAACCAGGAGTTTCTATTTCTATTTATTGAGTCGGATATTTATTTAGTTAGTAATGAGAAGCAGCAGAGAAACAAAACGCATGATATTCTGTGACGACATTCACAGTATAGGAAAGGAGGTAAAGGGAGACCAAGAAAACTACCTCCACCTCAATCAGACCTGCCCTTGGCTCCCTGGTTCTTTTGGCGTCTGAGTATTTTAAGGCTCAGTGTGTACCCTTTTGAACTCACGTGTTTTGCTTCTTCACTCTTACCTGCTCACGTCATCACTGGATGCCACTGGATGCTCCTCCTCTCTCTCTCTCTCTACATACACACGCACACCCACACGTATGTGCGCGCGTGCACGCACACACACACACACACGCTGAGAGAGAGGGAGAGAGAGATTTATTCATGCACACAAAACAGTCCGCTTTATTTTTCAACAGAAAATGTTAATTTGTACTTCCCCCGGTTAAAAGGTTCAACCATCATCAAGCTAAGTATACCAACTGAGTTCAACCATAGCTCTTCTCTCTGCTCTACATTTAATCAAAAGAAACTGGGGCGCCTGGGTGGCTCAGTGGGTTAACATGCTGCCTTCGGCTCAGGTCATGATCTCAGGGTCCTGGGATCGAGTCCCACATCGGGCTCTCTGCTCAGCAGGGAGCCTGCTTCTCTCTCTCTCTCTCTGCCTGCCTGCCTCTCCATCTACTTGTGATCTCTCTCTGTCAAATAAATAAATAAAATCTTAAAAAAAAAAAGAAACCAAGTGAAAGACAGCTCTGATCAATGGTACAGACAACTTGGGTAGATTTGTCCATGATATAGTTAGATGCGATTAGTTATTCTTAAAGCAGACAATACCTTGGTGATGACCACCTTCTGTTGAGATCGCCAAAACCGTACCAGCCTCTCACAGAGATACAGAAACATGGGACCCACTATCCATTTCCACGTCTGTAATCAGAGCAAAAGATGAAAATGGTATGTATTAAGGGGTGAGAGCTAATAAAAGATTAATGGGAATGAAACGTTTCCAAAGTCAAGTTAATTTTTGTAAGCTTGTTTAAATATTTGATATCCGATAGGTAAATTTCTTATACAACAGAATGCACGAAAAATATTGAAAGTTAAAATAAAATCTTAAGCCAATAGAAATGAGCATTGTCCTTGGCCACACTGGGGAACTTTATCTACAGTATAAAACTTTCCCAAGAGGAACTGCCCACAAGAATGGGATTTCCTCCTGGTGTTGCAACAGCTGTTGCAGTAACCCTATAGCAGAACAAGATTAGTTTCAGAATTAACATTTCTCTTAAGGATAGCATTTCAACAACACCATATTTTTTAATGCAACATTGTAGTTGCTTTCTTTCAACCATGTAGTCAAAGCTTAATCTTTTGCAAGATAAGAAATTTCATGCAAGAATTTAGCTGTTTCTCCAACATCCTTGTGAGTTCTGGGAGCTATGCAATGCACCTGCTGAACAGGGACAAGGCCAAAGATTTTCAGATTTCTTTAGATTCCTCTCTTGTCAGAATCTTCAATGCTTCACCACACTGGAATTACCCTGTAGTATTACTGGCTATATGAAAACTTTTAGGGTAAACAGATCCATCCTGGGACTCCGTCAGTTAGGTTCCCAGTTTAATACCTAAAGTAGTAAAGAGCTTTAGGAGGCGATATCATTTAAAAGATGGCATTTCAGAATGGATTCCAAGAAAGAAAAAGAAATCACAAAGAGCTTCCTACAGTCTCACCTATGATCTTTCTATTATATGTTTCGAGGTAACTTTAGATTGGAAGTTGAGAGCACCTGAATGTCCCCACCTCCCACCAAAATTAAAGACGATCTGCCCTGAAAGTCAGATATATTCTGCTGAATAGTTTTCATGGCACAGGTTTTCAAAAGAGCCTGGCACCACCCATCTATTTCCTGGGCACTGCAGTGGTGCTCCATCGAATGGAAGGAGGTGTTGGATATCGCCTCTACTCGCAGAAACCCAGAAGCTCCTTTGAGGTAGATGCCTGTTAAGTGCCCTGATTCCAGCTGTCTTCAAGGAAGTGTGCCTTCCCTTAACCCATAAGAGGACCTGCAATACAGTTCCTTTTCTACCCTTTCCGTCAATGTGCGCATGTACTGGGGGCAGTTTTTTGATACATCTGGTTGCTTTCATTAATGAGCAAGGATGCTTAAATATATTAAGTCCTGGACAGCAGACTGTGTCTTAGAAGAAGAAAATTCCTATGTTAAGAGAGTAGGAAAAAAGAAAGGAGAAAATGGGGTAGGACTTTTGCCTTTACATTATACTGTGCTTAAAAAAAAAAAAAAGTACAATCCTGTTCGGAAGCCCTCTACCAACGTTGATTTTTGCCTAGCTTTATACCAGTGGTTGGCATGGTAACCAATAAGGTACACTGCTTGTCAATGGAGGAAAATAAATGAAGAACACAGGGCCCGCTTCTCAACGGAGAGTAGATATTGAGAATACATAAAACTTTGCAGAGCACGCAACAGGAGCGCCCAGCAGAAAGTGAATATTCTACCATGTTTTCCCTTGGTCATCCTTGCCATACTCTTGTGTTGGTATAAACCTGGCTGTCCAGTGTCCTTTATGTGGTGCAGACATGGCCCCCTGATGCTTAAAGGCAGCCCTATGTGTTACTTCATCAGTTTCCTTCCCAGCTTTGAAAGCTGTACAGAAAGTCTTACTTCGTGGTATCTGAAAAGGCCCTAAGCTCCTTATGAGTGATTATCCGAGCTATCCAACTCAGCTCAGAATGGAATCCCTCTGGAAATCATTAACTGGTATTACTGTGGCCCTCACATCCAGAAGAGAAGAGATGGAATTTCTTGAACCCCCAACAGCACTTCCAAAAACAATGCTTTTCCAAGTTTTATATCAGGTTGTTCGTAATAGACCAATGCAATCCTTACCTTTCAAGAAATAATTCTAGACAATAAGTATAGGAGAAAAAAAGTAGATACTTATAACATTCTAACAGTTCCGTGGCATTCGTAACAGACAGCTCTATGACATTTGTACATATTTCTGAGACACAGTTGGAAGATTATTGGTAAAGAAATTATAATTGTAACAATGAACTATACATACCATAGGAGGGTTCCCAGCGAACTGTGGGATTGCACATTTTCCTGGTTTTCCCCATTCTGAGGGGTCTTTGTCACACTTTTCAGGGTTGTCTTTGTCTAAACTCTCTTGGGTTTGCTGGCGAACAATTCGCCTGGGGAGGAAATGTAAGTCCAAACCATTTAGTAGCAAGAAACTAAGTTCTTCATTTTTTGAGAATCTGGGCATATTTCAAGTATTCTAGAATGGATCCTGTACTTCCTACTTAACAGTAATATCTCATTGACCCTTCTGAGTAGATTCAAGGCAGGAAAAGAAAATATGTCTTCTTCAGCAATGGAAAAAACATTAGTACAATGGCACAAAGAATACGTAAGTTTTGGATCATCGATACTTGTTTTCTTAAAGGGAGCATTTGTGCTTCTGTTTCAAGTATTATTTCCATTTACAAACAAACAGACCAAAACAGGAAAATTGCAAATCTAACGGAGCAAGTACTCGCCCATACAGTGCCTTTGTGGGAATTACAAAGAGATGTCCCCTCTGTGAGGACAGTCCTAGAAGCAAAGAGCTTGGCCAGCAAAGCACAGGCGAATTTTACACGCCACGGACAGGCGCCCCTGTGTGGTTGACCATCACACACACAGTAGCTCTGAGGCTTAATCCAAGCACTTCATCTGATGGTCTGAAATTGTCTCAATGAAACTGAAAGTGTTGAAATCAATTTAAGGAGACTTTGCAGAGACTTAGACATTCTCACGATACCGACACTAATGGTGCGTCCTTGGAGGCACTAAGAGCCTGGTCATTTCCATTCCATAGATTTCAGCTGAGCAACTGCTAACACACAAGACAATATGGGTTTATGGGACCAGAGGAAAGCAGACGCAAAGTCAGGTGAGTCATGTTCCTGACCTCAAGGAACGTAAACAGCAGGGTCTTCAGAAAATATACTAAGAGACACAGAAGGCCCCCTTTGTAGTAGCTGTATGGGGGACCTAAAATGTGGTGTGCCATGTGGTATATTCTGTGAATGTTTTAATCCAAGGCTGTCAACCATCCTTTTCTACCCTAGGCCTCGGGACCGAGAGTTACCATGTACTGAGCATCTATTATGTGCCAGGCCGGAGGAAAGTTACTCTACACAAATTATCTCAGTTGTACCCCCATAACAAGCCTGAATGGTAAGTACTGGCACCCCCACTTGACATACGAGAACGCCGAGGCTTAGAAAAACTGGTAACAGAAAGTGAATTGTAACAGAAAAGCAGAATGGTTTGGAGAAAACAATTTTGGGCCTGTCAGACAGCCTTGGTTTCAAATCCCAGGTCCACTCCTTGATAGTTTGGTGGCCTTCGGCAAGTTATTTAACTTCTTCTGTGCCTCAGTTTCTTCAGTTGTAAAATCGGTCTAGTAATACCGAACTAAACATGTATTTTAGTAATCAATTGACCTGATGTGTAAAATATGCCAGCACAAAGTAAGAGTCCCACAAATGATAATTGTCAAAATTCCTGAGGGTCAAGTTCACATGGGGAGTAAGTGAGAGAAAACAAATTGGATTCTCCCCTCTTCTCTGCGCCAGGACCAGAAGTCAGAAAACCTGGATTTTAATCCCAGTTCAGCTGCTGCCTTGGCCATGAGACTGTGAGCAGTCAGCCAGCCAGTGTAGGTGGCAGATTCTCTTCAGATGTCGAGTGGGGCAAATTCACATCCTCGCCTGCTCCAAAGGAAAATGCGTCGTTGTGAAACTATACAGACATAAAGTGGGGGGATTACTAAGCTAGGGAGGGGAAGAGACTCATTTTTTGTGTCTGGATTCTCTGAAACAGCTGGGTTATGACCAAATCCCATTTAAAGATACTCATTTGCTTTAAGAGAGACCAGAGTTCTTTGTCTACACAGATTTTTCAGAGCTTCCAAAGGGTTGATCAGGGATCAGAGTCAGCAAGTCGGTCAAGAATGCATATGAGTAATTGCCCGATGCTGCTTCTTCCCACCCTTTCCCTTTTCACACTTAGCTCTTAGGCACCTCCAGGCCAACTTGGCTCCCAGGAGAGTCACTGAGCCTTGAGCATGTGCTGTCCTGATGCTTAGTTACGTGGAGCCCCAAACCCACCAGGGGACTTCCCCAGGCCTGCTTTTGTGTGCAGGTGGGAGAATCAGCTGCTGTGAAACAACATAAAAAGGAAACCCGGTAGAAAATGGGATTCCCCATAAGACCTACTGTGCCAACCACACATGCAGGCACTGTGACTCTCTATGAGGATATTTGTCACCACTGGCCTGAGACCACCTGGGCCCCAGTCCCCCAGGACATGGGGATGTGAGCGTATCTCTAGAATGAGTGCCTGATAGAAGTAAGCTCTTACCTTTATTGTGTTAGAATGCTGGAAGGCAATAACCATGTATGTTTCCTTCTAGTATTGCCCACCATGCCAGAGAGCAGTCCTCATGCACCGTAGGTAATCAATACATGTCCAGCTTGAATCGAAGCTCACTGAACTACAGCAAACCCTGTCACCTGGTTAATCAGGTGCCCCTCTAGTTTGGGAGTTTGTCTAATTTAGTAGAGATTGAGCCATAAGAATATCACTGCAGACATCCAAGGCCCCTCCAGCACCCTTAACGTGTTTCACACCCTTGCAGAGGTACTCAAATATTGGTGCATTTTTCAAGCTTGTTAGAATGAACTGCCTTAATAATAGCTATTGTTAAATTACCGCAGAAATAATAGCTATTCATTGGGTGCAAGAAACTGAAATGCTGCTGAGTGATCTCTGTCCAGCTGACCTCTGGTGTCCCCTCATATTCCCTCAGCAGACAGACTCGCCACACACAGACTAGGTCACGGTGCCTCTGACAGCATCACACCTAGAAACTAAAGGATTTAAACACTCACTCAGCTCCATGGATGGCGAGGCCAATGAAGAAGATCACAAAAAGATGGTGCGTGTACCAAAACACTTCAAAGTAAGACCTCCGGATGGTTTTGGCAGAGGAGGTGATAATTAGTATGAGGCACAGGGTGATCACGATACCAGTGATGCCGGCCACGCGGGTCACAGCCACATACAGGCCTCCCTCAGGATTCTGCAAAATACAAACACACACACACACACACACACACACACACACACACATTATCCAAAGGCTCTCAAATACAAGACTACCTATTTATAAAGTGTCTGGTGTATAGGCCGATAGGTATTTTCATTCCTCCCTTTCAATACTCCTAACCAACCTTCACAGAGTGAAATAGATTTGGAATAGATATTTCTCAATTTAAAACCATCTTATGTGGTCGAGGGGTCATAGGGAGTAGTAACTGATAGGCTGAAATAGTTCTAAGGGAGTATTGAACAAATAGTTCTAAGGGAGCCAACTGTAAGATGTCCTAAAAGAGTCTGAGGCTCTTTCTCCCTTTGGTTTGGAAAGGGCCACAGTGCTTAGTGGGCAAATGTATTCTGGACATGCCCCCCGTCTTAGGCTGGGTTCCCCTGAAGCAGACAGACCTTGAGATGAGGATTCATGAGTAAGTGATTTTAAAAAGGTGTGCTCCAGGGTGCCTGGGTAGCTCAGGTCATGATCTCAGGGTCCTGGGATCAAGCCCCGCATCGGGCTCTCTGCTCAGCGGGGAGCCTGCTTCCTCCTCTCTCTCTGCCTGCCTCTCTGCCTACTTGTGATCTCTGTCTGTCAGATAAATAAATAAAATCTTAAAAAAAAAAGGTGTGCTCCAAAAGACACTGGTAAGAAGATGGGCAACAGGACAGGAAAGAGGAAGAAGTCAAACAAGAGGGTGAGCTCAGGCCAAGTCTTTAGTGAAGGTAGATTCAAAGTTCATCCTGACTCAAGGCAAGGAAGCTGGCCTTTCATGGCCTGCACCCCACAGGTATTGGCTAATGGCTGCCCACAAAGAGGTAGCCATCCAGGCCGTTCCAGATCTCTGAGCTTGTGGGCCAAGAAACTTCCGTAGCCCCAGGGTGGTCCTCTGAGGAAGAAAGGCAGGTATCAGCAATTGGAAGTGAAAACACATGGAAAGGTAGGGGGAGCACAGACATAGTACAAGTGGTCCAAAGAGATCCAGGCAGAGCATGACAGCATCAGCTCACCTAGTATGCTCATGTTGCCTTCCTTCTATATCACTGTACAATGAACAATATGAAAGAAAAATTATCCCAGAAGTTATAGAAAAGGAATTTCTTTTTCTCTTAGGCAAGTTGTTTCCATCTTGGTCTGAGGAGACTTATTTCTGCAACATTAAGGGACATTTTTTTCTCATCTTTTCTAAACATGAGGAAACATGTTTGGAATTCAGTGTATAATTATGTGACTTGGCCATCTTCCCAAGCCACTGGGCACATGAAGATGACTCAGAGCTTCTCCGTCTGAGTGTAGGAAACTCTAACAACCACTGGAAGGGAAGCAGTCCTTGCTGTGGATACCTCAAATGGCTTTGCCTGGAAGACCTTGGAGTTACTCCCAGTTCACTGTGCTTCCCATGGGATGATAATCAGCAGACATAGGCCACCCCTCGGATGTTGGAGGCAAGAAGGAAGAAAAGCACCTCTGTCGGCTGTCAGCTGGTGGCTAGCCTGGTATGAACCCCGAGGCCAGAGTGTTCCCTAATTCACATAAAGAATCTCATAGAACACCCACATCAGACCAGGTCAGTGTGTGACTGTGAGGGAGTGGGACAAAAACAAGACCACTCCGGAACTTTGTCAGAGCCAAGACAACAACACAAGTGACTGCTGCTAAGATACCCAATCCTAGAAAGACCCCCAGTTCCTGACCATACCTGATGCAGAGCAAATCCTTGCTTCCTTAAACCCCACCAAAACCACCTGACGGAAGTCCATGTCCTATAACAAACCTCCATGAGCACCTTCCTAGAATGTCCCAGACTTTCTCATGGTGTGAGGCCTCTTTTGCTGCAGTAAGTAATAAACTCAATTTTGTTTGACTAGATATGTGTTCTTGTTTTTCTTTGTCATGAGTGAGCCTGAGTTACTCCAGATTCTATAGGTGAGCATAAGGAACTGGAAAGCATCTAGAGACCCTCCACACATGGGATCAGGAGTGGGGAAGACATTTTCTCTGTACCCACATTCTTAGAAACTACAAACTTTGCCCACTGATGGTCAACTTTTATCATTGTTGGTGCTCTGCCCAAGTAGAGTTCTTCACTCATTGAAATCTAGTCCTCAGTTTTAACGGCCTAGTCTTAATCCAGAAATAGACTTACCGGGATTTCCTCTCGAGCAAAATTGAGGTAAGTTTCACCAGGTTTATCTCCAAGTCTAGAGAGTGCTATTGAATAGCTATCAGATTTGTTGACTCGGGCATTCACACACCACTCCACATTAAACAGATGGGCAATGGTATGAATCGCTGAAGAGGACAGAGAAGAGAAGGGTGCGGTCAATTTTCGTGTAAGCTGGGTTTCTGGCTATAGCCCTTGACTATGATAAGATACAGGGAGACACAGGGATGGCCCAGGACACTTAGAAACAAGAACTAGGTCTCCAGGCCAGACAGGCAAGACTAGAACTCTAGTGGATAAGCTATTCTCTAGTTGTGTGATCATAGTGATCATACGCAAATCACTTGACCTCTCTGGTCTTGGTTTCCTCATTTGTAAAATGAAGATGTTAAACGACACTATCGTAAAGATCCAATCAAATTCTGAGATTCTACAAAATAACCGTGGTCTCTGAGGATATTTAGGTATGCTCTCATTGTCTCTCTCCCCCTGATATGTTTATGCTCAAACAAGAAGACTCTCTTGCAATGTATGCCTTTGGCTGGCCCATTCACCTGATTCTGACATTACTCCAGAGAGACAATAACATTTTATTGAACTGATATAAACCAATGGCCACAAGAGCGAGTATCTTCTTGAAAATTGCATTCCTTACTTAACAAGCACTTACATACAACTTCCTGGGTGCCAAGAACTGTTATAAGTGCTTTATAATTACTTAATCCTTATGTGGAGGCAATGATGTAGGAACTGTTTAGTACCATCTCATCTTACAGATGAGGAAACCGGAGCATAGATTGCTTTAATATCCCTCCCAAGATCACCAAGCTAGGAAGCAGCAGAATTAAGAATCTAATCTGAGCAATCTGGTACTCAAATTTTTGCTCCTCACCATTACGCTATGTTGCTCTCTAATAAGATTTTATCATGCATTTTGCTTATGAACCATCTTATTCACCACAGCTCAGAAAGCCTGCATGATCTACTAATAGAAGAGAAACCCAGGTAAACACTTGCAATGTAAACCTATTTTACTCAAATTATGGGGAAACTCTTTAACAGCAGAGTAAAAGTCTCTTTTGTTCATCACTGCCAATTGCCCAGCACATCACTTATTTGTTAAGTGAATTAGTGAAGATCTGATTAGGGTCCCAAATACATCCCTTCTGCCAACACTGCCACTTTAGTAATTATAATAACAACACATAATAAAGAATACATATATACATATGTATACCTAGTAGATATATAATAACAATAATAATAAAGGAGACTTTTGGCTGATAAGGGCTATCTTACCCTTAAGATAAGATATCTTCTCAGCTTATGGGTTGTGGCCCCCATAGGGTTAGTGCAAGGAATCCGCAAATCTACATGTTCAACCCTAGTATTTTTGTTAATGGATAAATAAAAGCTCTCAGTTGTGGACTTTTTTTTATATTAAAAAGCATGGGGAAGGGTGAGGACACTGGGATTTTGTCAGAAGACCCCAAGATAAAAAAGTTTTAAGACTTGAAAGAATAGGGTGCCTGGGTGGCTCAGTCGGTTAAGTGTCTGCCTTTGGCTCAGGTCATGATCCCAGGTTCCTGGGATTGAGTTCCATAACAGGCTCCTGCTCTGCGGAGAGCCTGCTTCTCCCTCTCCCTCTGCTGCTTCCCCTTCTTGTTCTCTCTTTCTCTCTCTATGTCAAATAAATAAATAAAATCCTTTAAAAAAAGAGTTGAAGGAATAAATCCTAATATGGCAATGGAAGAAAGAGTGGTGAATATTTTTTAACAGAATTCATTCAAAAAGTACAACATATCTTGGTGGGAATGTAAATTGGTGCAGCCACCATGGAAAACACTACGGAGTTGCCTCAAAAAAACTAAAAAAAGAAATACCATATAATCCAGTAATTATACCCAAAGAAAATGAAAACACTAATTTGAAAAAAAGATATATGCACCCCCATATTTATAGCAGCATTATTTACAATAGCCAAGATATGAAAGCAGCCTAAGTGTCCATCTATAGGTGAATGGATAAAGAAGTGGTATAATATATATATATATATATATATATATATATATATATATATATATATATCATAATATACTCAGCCATAAAAAAGAATGAAAACCTTGTCATTTGCAACAACATGGATGGACCTAGAGGGTATTATGCTATGTGAAATAAATCAGAAAAAGAAAGACAAATACCGTATGGTTTCACTTATATGTAGAATCTAAAAACCAAACCAACCAAACCAAATGAACCAGAAATAGACTTATAAATACAGACAGCAAACAGGTGGTTGCCAGAGGGGTTGGGAGTGAGGGGATGGGCAAAATAGGTGAAGAAGATTAAGAGATATAAACTTCCAGTTATAAAACAAATAACTCACAGGGGGGTAAAGTACAGCACAGGGAATGTAGTCAATAATAGTGTACTAACTTTGTGTGGTGGCAGACAATAACTCCGTGTATCGTGGTGAGCATTTTATAACATATGTCATTGTCAAATCACTATGTCATACACCCGAAACAAACAGGATGCTGTATGTTAAGTATACTTCAGTTAAAAATTAAAAAAAAAAAATACAACATCGCCAATCACCACCTGATCTACCTAAAAAGGCTGACCTCTTCTAAAATAAAAGGTATCTAGGAGAAGAGGGAACTGTCTGGTTTCAAGTTTTCTTTACAATCTCACATATCTTAATCAGCTCACCAGTGTGAAGTGCAATCATCCACGCCACCATTTTATGGAAAGTGAGGTTCCTGTCCAGTTGTCTTCGAATTCTTGTGGAACAGCACTTTGGATTAAGGGGAAAAGAACAAAAGAGTAATTGTTATCAAGAAGGTTTTCTGTGTGCCAGACAGTAGATACAGATCATCTCACTTAATTGTCATAACCACCCTGAAAACACTGTCATTCTATGCCTTTGATAGATGAGAAAACAGAGGCTCAGATACTTGTAGTCATCTTCCCAGGGTCAACCAGCCAGTGAGTAGCCTACCTGACAGGTTCCTGAGCAACCACACACAAGCACAACCAGCTCAACCCCCAGAAGCCTGGAGAAGTTCGTTGAACAATAAGTGTTAGGTCCGTACAACCAGTCTCTGCATATTTTACCTGGACCTGAAGGAGGAACTCTCTGTCTCTGTGTCTTCTCCATCACCTTTTCCCACCCCAGATGTTTCTGAGCTCCCCCACAGTTCCTCACTGGCAGGTAGCAAAGGCTCATCCTTGTGAAGGTGTCAACCAGTAAGTTAAGTGTTAGTTAAGTGAGAGATTCAAGAGTCAGCTCTCCCTGGAATACCGGCGGCATCATAGGAAAGGTGTATGCATTTCACATGACCCTGAAAGTCTAAGGGGGGACAGACTAGTGAACAGCTCTAGAATAAGTGAATAGTTTTAGAACAACACCCTTCAAAGACATACACTGTGGGAGGAAAAAAAAATACCCACCCACCTCTGTTGACAGAGACAACATCGCAAGGAGATATCATTAACCAAATATTAATAGCAAAAAGAACGATAGGTAGTATTTACAAAGAACTTGGGCAAGGAGCTGTTTTAAATGTTTTATGTACATTCTGACTCTTCATTTTTGCATCAGTCCTAGCAGGGAGGAACCATTATTATTACTGTGTAACAGGTTAGGGAAAAACCTGTGGGGAGGTAGCCTTAGGTCACATAGTTAATAAGTGGCAGAGTTGGGATTTAAATCTATCAGATGCCAGAGTATCAATATTCTGATATTTCATACCTTGTATGATTACCTAGACACTAAAAATACTATTTTGGTCAGTACTCAAGTGTGACTGTCCTTCTGATACGTGTTAGAGGATGTGGATTTGAATCTTGATTCAGTTCAATGCCCAAAGTAGAAAAGAACAAACTCTGCCTTATGATTGAATCCAAACTTTGTCCTCCTGAAGACTGGTCAAATGCTTGCTTTGGCTGCTTTGTTCCCAAGTCTAAATGTACTGCCATAGAGATACAGAGAATTGTTAAGGAGAGCCAAGTGCAAAACAAAAGAAAAAAAAATCTTAGTATAAGTACTTAGTATAAGTAATCTAAGTATATCGGGTTCTAAAAATATTAAATTTAATCTAGAATTGTTTAATATTTGACTTATTATTTTTTTTAAGTAGGCTCCATGGCCAGCATGAAGCCCACTACGGGGCTTGAACTCATGACCCTGAGATGGAGACCTGGGTTGAAATCAAAAGTCAGACACTAACTAAGCCACCCTGGGCCTGGTGACTTAGTTATTTTTAATAAAATGTTCTGATTTTTATAGGAAAAAAATGTAATTTTTAATAATTTTTTAAAATAAAAATTTAAAATTTTTAATAAAAATTTTAATTTTATAAATTTTATAATTTTATAAAATTTTAAATTTTTAATTATAAAAATTTTATAAAAATTTTTATAAAAATGTAATTTTTATAGAAAAAAAATGTAACGTGTGGGAAATTGTGCTTACTCCACTATCTCTCAGTTAGCTACATCTACAGAGAGCATGGCACCATGAGGGCAGATTCCCGGGACCACAGCAATACTACTAGGGAGGAAGACACAGGATTCCAGAGAAAGGAAGAAAGAATTAGGCTTCACTGAATGTTTTCTGTGAGCCAGGCAGTTTACCCATAATCATTATCTCATTCAGTGGCAACGAGATAAGAATGATTGTCCTCATTTTAAGATTAAAAAAATTAAAGTTAAATCTCACATTGGCTGGGATGCAAGTCTCTTTGTCTTCAAGGTTCACACCCTTTTCCACCAAACCAGATGCAATGATATAGTCACTATTACTTTACAAGTCTAAAAAAAAACCCGAGACAAGACTTTAAGTACTCAGCTGCAAGGTGATCACAGAAAACAAGGTCAAGGGAAGTGACACTGGGAAGACAATGCAGCCAAAGAAGGGCGTATTATCAGATTAGCTACCACTGCCATATATCCTACCATATCATATATCATATCATACCATGGTCTCTTTGATTAGAGGATTCTGAGAGCTATAGAAAATGCTCCAGAGGTTTTCTTTTCTTTTTTCTTTTTCTTTTCTTTCTTTCTTTTTTTTTTTTAACCCGAGGCATTAGAAAGTTTAGGAATTCATCCCTCGACTTCCAACCGTCACAGGCCAAGGGCTGGTGCCAGGGCATAGATTCCCGGGCATTTCAGGCTTGCCCCATGAGAGGGCCGAAAGAAAATCCTCAGGCAGAGAACGAGTGGGGCTTGCAGAAGGCAGCGAGCCCATGCACTATAGAACCACAAGTGTGGAGGGAACATGACTGAAAAACCAACAGCATCAGCTACAACTAAGTGTTCATGGCTGAAGGTGGGCCATGACTCAGGCTCTCAAAACAAGGGTTTCCGGTTTGAAATCACTTAGTTCACATTTCTGTTGGTGAAAAATTGTCTTTGGTTTTTTATATAGCCTTGTCATCTTTTCTGTTTATTTCAAATGCTGTACATTGTCTTACTACTTTATATTCTTTACAATTTTAAAGAAATATCTTCTTCCTGTTTCCCAATTGCTAGGTTCCTCCATAGTTTCTTGGAGTCCTTGTAGCAGGCAGAATTCAAAGATGATCCTCAATGACATTATATAATATCTTCCCTTTGAGTGGGGCTGGGACCTGAACTGTGAATATGATGGGATGTCACTCCTGTGAGTTTGTTACATTATATGGCAAAAGGAAATTTGCAGAGGTAATGAAAGTTCCAAGTTGACCTTAAAAGAAGATTATCTGCATGGGCCTGAGCCAATCACATGGCCCTTTAAATCTGGGTCCAGAGCTCAGAGACTGAAGAACTCAGAGATTCAAGGCACGAGAAGTATTTGGTGCAATGTTGCTGGCTTGAACATGGAGGAGGCCAGATGGAAGGAATACAGAGACTTTCACGATCTGAGAGCAGGCCCTGAATGGCTCTCAGCAAGGAGACAGGAACCTCAGTCCCACAACTGCAAGGAACTGAATTTTGCCAACAAGAATGAGTTTGGAAGATTTTTACCTGGGGTTTCCATTAGAGAATTCAGCCCACTTGGCACCTTGACTTCAGCCTTGTAACATGCTGAGCAGAGAACCCAACCAAATGCAGGAGGCTGCACTTCTCACTGACAGAACTGTTGACTAATAAGTTGTGGTTGTTTTAAGCCACTGAATTTGTGGCAATCTTTTACACAGCAACATATAATTAATATAGTCCTTATTGGAGTGATGGAACACATTGGGAGTCTTAAGACTGAGAGAATGGGAACAGTAGGATCAGAAATCAGTACTGAATTAAAGTTCAGAGGACAAGTTCTGCACAACTTGCCATCAGATATACATGTGTTGGATCTCAGTCCTACCACCAATATGGTCAGTTTCTAACTTCCCCACCTATGTATTTATCATAGTTCTTCTCTCATAAGTCTGTTTCCTAGATTCACTAAGAGGCGTTTAATAAATATTTGAGGGGGTTTTTTTGGTATCATTATTTAACTTTTCAGCTCGTATGGCTTGGCTCCCCAGCTAGAAATTAAGCTTCCTACATGCAGAGCAATGTATAATATGCTTCAAAAAAAAAAATCTCTTAGGGCACCTGGGTGGCACAGTCGGTTAGATGTCTGGCTCTTGGTGTGGCTCAGGTCCTGCTCTCAGAGTCATGAGATCAAGCCCCACATCAGGTTCCACACTCAGTACAGAGTCTGCTTAAGTTTCTCCCACCCTCTCCCTCTGCCCCTCCACCACCCTCTACATGCCCTCTCTCTCTCTTTCTCTTTCTCCAAAATAAATAAATAAATCTTTTTTTAAGTCCCTTGATAATTATTTGGTTAAATGAATTACATTTTCACTGTTCTTTAACCTAAGATGATTATTCTAAATCTGTAGTGATGTATTTACCCACATATCTATACTTGCCACACGGTTTTCTTTTCTACTTTCTGACAAACTGTTTTGAAATTTTGGTGGGGGGGCGGTAATACACTGGCTTCTGCATGCTGAATTTGAAGAAAAGAATATGGTTTTAATGTGGCCTCTACAGTGTCTCCATAGTTCTACTTTTATCATCATCGATATAGATCATCAAAAATGCGGAACAACAGATTCTAATGCCACCATCAGAAATTGAATTGAATGCTTGAGAAATAAAAGGTCCATTTGTAATACTCTGATCATAATAGGTAATTTTTTTAAAAGCTAGTTGATATGAAACACATACATCTTAAAAAATGAAAAAATATAGGTCATTAGTTACTAATGGGTCATTGGAATGGATCTTACTGAGCACAAATCCTTAGTTTTTCCCAGCTGCCCTCTATGATATGCTCAGGATGCCCCCCACTGCCGAAAAAAAAAAAAAATCCAAAGAGAAGTCACAAGTCATGTTTATATGGGGCTTCCAAATACAATTTCCTCACCACTTCCTAAAATGAGAGCAAGGCAGGTGGTTGGTGGAGTGGGAAGGAAGAGCTTTGCTGCCTGTGACCACCCAGGGCTTGTTTGTTCCTCCTAATAACACAGATACCATTTTTATGCTTTTCAGTCACTTCTGAATTATTGCCAGCTACCTCCTAATTACGCAAGTTGCCATGATGTCCCATGGCTTCCTCACTGAACTACCCCTTTGCCACTGATTTCTAAAGGGAAGTTTCTCTTTTACTGTCACCTAGAGCCTAGCCTGAACTCACTAGGCTAACATTCAAGTGTAAGGAAGATTATTGCATCATCTCAGCAAATTTCTATGCTGTGTTCAAACCACAAGAGAAAAAAAAAATTTTGAAGATAAAGATTTTATTTATTTGAGAAAGTGAGAGAGGGAGAGTGGGGAAAAGGTCAGAGGTAGAGGGAGAAGCTGAGCAGTGAGCTCAGTGTAGGGCTCCATCTGAGGACCCCAGGATCATGACCTGAGCTGAAACCAAGAGTTGGACACTCAACCCACTGAGCTACCCAGGTGTACTGAAAAAATACTTTTTTTTCAAGTGAGAAATGGAACCAAAAAGGAGTGCATACTTAATGGGGTATTAACATGAGTTTCTGTAACATGACCATTACAGAAACTTAAAAGTTCTATTTTATGTACACCTGGTCTTGCCACACATGCCACGAATTCACTTAAATTTGATGTTTATAAGCAATTTGGGGGAAATTACAAAATCCACCCTTGAGTCTATAGAACTCAGGCAAAGAAGTTGCCAGTGATGTCCAAACCTGGTGTCAGTAGGGTATGTGATGAGTAAGAACCTCAGTTTACTTGTATAGCACTGTTGATAGCTTTGAAGTCACATATTTCTTCTCTATCCCTTCCATAAAACTCTAAGCTCCTTGAGTTTTACTCTTTACTCACCATGTGTCACCAGTACCTAGCATACAGCTGGCAGTCAACAAATGTTTGTTGACTGACAATTCAGCAGCTGACAGCTTAGTCAATTAATATACTTTTGGAATGTTATATTCATTCTTACAGTTGCATTGTCTCACCTGCTTTTCAGCTAAAAACAACAACAACAACAACAAAACCCAACCCGTGCAACAGGAAGTCCAAGAGACTTCCCTACACCATGTGGTTATACAGAGCCCCACTGACGGCCTCTGACTGTCAGACTATATAAGGTTACAGATAAGAGCTGACTCTCTCACCTTCCTTTTTCTTTCTGATCTGAAGACTGAGACTCCAATCAATTAGAATTCAGTTTCTACATGGCAAGGTAGGGATTACTAAGCCCCATCATTCCCCATTCCATGCAACAAAGCAGGCTGAGAGCCTTTGCCTTTACCTTCCCCAGGGTGGGCCAATACTGGGGCTTTATTTCTTCAAATAATCAGAAGGGTTATAAAGCAAAGTCTAACTGGTTAAGATCACTAGAAACTGAATGGAAGTTCTGTGACTATGCAGTCTGCGGGACGTCCTACTGGCAAATCCTTGAAGTGACAACAACCTTGTCATTTCTGGTCTGTGCTATCCAGCATGCTCCAGCATTCACATATATGGCGGACTTTTGAAGACCGTCATACAACACGAAGGCGGTTTTGAGTTTTGGTGGCACATAGGAAAGTGAATGGGCTCTCGGGACACAAAGAGCAAGTTTAAATTCTAACATTGCCATCTCATTTCATCCCCGTGTCGCTGACTTGACATGCAGCTGCTATGAGGCGAGCTCTACGAAGACTCGGTAAGGGGCCGCTATTAGGAGTTCCAACACTGGTTGCAGGATGGTCACTCATTTTAATCCCAATCAGAAAAGAAGTTTTGTTTGCCAAGTTCACACTTCAGGTTGGGAAACCTGGAAGAAGGGACACTCCCAGTCTCTAAAAGAATGTGGCTTTCTCCTAATTTTATAAAATATATTCTCTTACATACAGATCTCTCCATAGTAGCAGAGCATCTCTGCAATTTGAAAAGCAGCCTTATTTCGTCCCTGTCTTTGAAGACGCTCATGAAGATCTTCCCTCCTGGGTCACAGGAAGCCTGAAAGCAGCCATTACAACATGTGCATTTCACGAGGCAGGGCAGCTCAATAGCAGTGAAATTTGGGCCTGGGTGGTAACAAGGATTTCCTAACCCGCCCTCCTGGTGAAAACGCTGCCTGTTTCTCAGGGTTTACTTCCTCTAAATAGAAAGTATTCAAACAGGGCATGGTGGGGAGACCAAAAAAATGAATCGTGCCTTCCTAAAAACAAAAAGCTACAATACGTGAGCTTCATTCAGCAAATGTTCATTGGGCGCCTACAGTATGCCAGGCATTGGACTTAAGAGTTGGCTCGCTGCTAAAACTTGAAATTGAATGGAATTTTACCTCTGTGGTTTCTTAGATGGGGAAATACTGTTAATTGTATCCCACTAATCCTATATTCGTTAAATCAACTAGTAAATTTACTAAGATTAGGAAAATAAGGCAGAGTTCAAGGCAAATTCTACTTGATATTGACAGTTTAGATCACTTTTCTTCCCCCCAAATAGTCCACAATTGCCAAATTAAGTATTAACTTCTCAGGTCTACATTTGAGGTCCTAGTTTACCAGGAAAGTTCCAGCTGTCCTCTGCAGCCTTAGTTCAGACACGTGGCCTTTACAATCTCTACATCCCCATCAAAGTACATTGCTCACTTCTCTCCTCTATAAATTATCTCCACTAAACAGATTTTTTAAAGCTGGTTAATATAAAACACATACATTTTATTAAGATGAAAAACAGAGGATAGTAGTTACTCATGATCCAGTAGAATGGGTCTCACCAAGTCATCAATCCCTAGCTTTTCCAAGCTACCTTCTTTGGTGGGATCAGGAACTGCAAACAAATCCGAAGAGAAGCCACGTGTCGTGCTTCTATGGGGCTTTCACGAATGTAATTTCCTCACTATTTTCTTTGCATTGGCCCATTCCATTTTCTCCAGGTAAAATGTCTTTCTCATTTATATCTCCTAGTGGCTTGTCTGATCCTTATATGCCCATTTGATGCCATATTTTCGAAGAAGCCTTTCTTCATTCCCTGCCCCAACTTCATTCCTAATCCCCCCTTCTTTGATTCCCCAGAGCCCCTTATTTCTAATGTTCTGTGGAACCCATCATATTTGGCTTTGTAGTACACAGATTAAGTAGACTCTAAGTGCCTTGTTTCTCATCTTTGTGTGATAACAGCAATAAGAAATTCATGTGCACTGGGTGTTATATGTAAACAATCTTGGAACACTACATCAAAAACTAATGACGTACTATTTGGTTACTAACATAACACAATAAAAAAAAGAAAAACAGGCCTATTTTAAAAAGAAATTCTAAAATTATAAAAAATTAAATTAAATTAAAAAGAAATTCATATACTATTTTATAGGTCACAAGGTTTCTTCTTACATAATATTTTCTTTCTTCTAACATAGTACATTTAGGGGCTCACCAAATTGTTGAAATGAGGGTAAAAAAAAAACCACCCTGGACATTTAGAAAGCACCAAACTCCTCAGTTCCATGGACTCAGTACCTCTTAGTCACCCTCGGTATACTGTGACTCATCACTCCTTGATTCCACCTGCTTGGGATGTTAGCCACGAAGAGATTTTCTCTGACTTAAAAATTTTGAAAAACATGCTGCTATAGGATTAATTCCCAAAGCCCATGTCAGCCTCATAAAGTCCATAATATATTATATTACGTATGTCTGGTGTGTGTGTGTGTGTGTGCACGCACGAGTGTTTTATGGCTCTTCTTGAACTGTAGGTTGATTGTTTTTTTTTTTTTTTTTTAATGTCTGTTCCAAGTTAAATGATTGTCCCAGGGAACTCCATCAACAACTGATATACAAATAAAATGGAGAATCAAGCATAGTTCAGCTTGCAAATACTGGACAGAGGTTGGAATCCTCACAAACCATTAGTCTGCTTTTCCTCAGAAAGGACACTTAGTGTAATGGCCTTTGAAAATTTTGAGAAGCGTCAACTTTGTAAATGTTTGCTCTTACCGCGCTGGAACCCCTGAGGAAGGAGAGCAGATTTCGACAGACTGGCAGCAGAATCAGCATGCAGTTGAAATTCAGGCAGGCTGCAGGGGCCCTGGCCAATGGCAGCGCAAACTGGAAGATGTGGGATAGGAAGCAGGTAACTCCTGTGAGCACAGAACACCCCCCACACCAACACTTCTCCAGGGTTCCCAGCATGAGGCCCACCAGAGACATCAAGTTATCTGAGAAGGAAGGTCCTTCGGAACCAAGAGTCTACCTGGAGGGCCTGCTGGGATCCTTTGCTTTAACCTGGCCCTTCTCTCCCACCCCAACATTTTACTACGAAAATTTTCAAACGTAAAGAGAATCTGAAATATTTTCATAATGAACACCCGTTTTCCCATCTCCCAGGATCCCCCCTCACAGAGCTGTCCATCCATCTGCCCATCCCTCTAGCCATCCGTCAATACATCTTATTTTTGATGCATTGCAGATATCAGTTCACTTCCTCCTAAATACTTAAGCATGTGTGTCATTTGTTAGAGTTCAGTATAGAAACTGGGGCTTTCTAAAGAAGATTTTCTTAGTTCTTAGACTCACTTCAGCAGTAACTTAGGTTGGTCTGCTGTAATGCTTTAGCATTATAATTGTTCTTTGTGACGCCTAAAGAACTTGCATACTTTGGAGGGGAAAACAAAGGGAAATCATCCTTCTCAGTATCAGCCTGAATTAGCTAACAACAATTTAACAGCACAGTATTATTATGTAGTATAATTGTGTATACGCATGATATATAATACATAGTATAATTAGCGTTACGTCATGAATTCAGGGTTTCAGCATGATGTAAAAAATGGTATCCTGTGGGGGCCACCTGTCATTGTAATTGTTGCCATTTGTCGTGAAGAAGAGTCCTGGCAGTTCAAGGAAAACAAGAATGCTAATGGACCCAAGGAACGTTGGGGGCCTTCACTCTGCTGGCCTAGTCAATGAATGTGACCCTTGGGCAGGTTCCTCAAAGGCTCCATCTGGAGGGAGAGGCTTATTTCCTGAAGGTCATTTCACAACATGTCACAAGACGCAGGGCTCTCCATGCACGAAAGTTGTCAGGAATCAGATGATTTAAAGAATATGGAAAGTCTCACTTGTCCCACCTGTGTCACCCTTGGATCAATCTCACCAAATCTACCTGCCATTCCAGGGTTGGCATTAGATTTCTTCTTTAAGCTAAACAGTGGCACAGTAGTTTTTGGGAGGGGATGGATGCCGCTGTGATTCTCTGACACACTTTAGTTTGTCTCACACGGGAAGGCCTAAAGACTCTTGCCCAGGTGGTAGCAGTGGAGGGAGCGAGGTAATGGTGCCATCTGGGTTGGTGAGAACATTTATTTAAAGTGTTGAAAGGAGTATGAACCAGAATCTTTGATTAGAAATGTAAGCCAGTCAATATTGCATGAGATGGAACTCATACTTACCCCAAGAAGTTTTCGAGTGTAATGGTACTGAGGTCCAATGTCATAAAACCTGTAGAACCGGATGAAGAGGAAGACGTTCATCCCCAGCCATACCAGCTGCAAAAAGAGAAATACTTGTGTGACGTTTCCACATTTCAATGGGTAGATTTCACGTAAGATTGGACTCAGAGTAGGGTCAGGACTTCCCCAGTCTAGCCTTCAACAAAGGTAGTTAGACATCTGAGTGTGACCATCTGTGAGTCAGATCCTTCCTCCAACAGTGCCCCTACACTTCGTGATTGTGACCTTTCCACCTTGTGGCATTCCCTGCGATGGTTTTACTATGGGCCAGGATGCCAGGTTATTATCAATCTATCTCACCTCTGTTGTTTCATTCCTCTTTTCTTCTTAATGAATAGCGGGTGAGTCTTCTCCAAAAGAGAAGGGAAAGGAATAGGTTACTGTGTCGTCCCCTGCGCCCATAAGACACTGTGTTCTACTCTCAGGGATGCCATCACCTCCCTCCAGCACACAGCACCCCACCCCAGCTAGTGGGAGTCACATCGGCTAAAACGTCAAGCCTTTAATTCTATTTGGTAACTTTTGCTTAACTTTTCAAAGAGGGACTATTGAACATGAATGAGGGGGTGAGGGGCATGGGATTTTTTTTTAAAGTGACCCTCCTACCTTTTGACTGCTCATTTCATCCCAAGCACTGACTGCATTGAGTGAGGCACTGCTCAGTTTCAAACCTTCAGCTTCATCTTTTCTTACCTGTGCTTTAGTGCCATTAAAGGTCCGTAGATGCCTGAGAATGATCTCTTTATGAAGAAGCTATTTAAACAGCTTCTCCATTCCCTAACCTTGTCATTCTTACTCTTGCTTTCCAGACTGTGTCTTTATTGTCAAACGTATGAGTGTGCAATTTAGGAGGAGGTCATCTCCTGGGGAAAACTGTGGTAGGAGCCAAAAGTATAATATGAGCTTGTTTTCTATGGGAGTAGTCTGTTTTCAAAACGGTGATAAGAAATCAAGTTAAAAGCTCTGAGTCCTAAGAAGAATTCTATATTGCATAAGCATGTTGGTTTGGCATAACTTTTTAATGCACAATATTTCTTGGTTTTCTTTTATTTGTGCCCCCCTTCCTCTCTGTGTCTGCAAATCAAAGACTCAATATTTACTTCATGATAAATTCTTTCAAATTACACTGACAAGTGTCCTTTTTAACATCAGTACAATATTTTCATTGGCTATTAGGAAAGGCTATTTAAAAATCAAATTTCTATTTTCCCAATTGTCTGTGATTGCTTTGCTGAGACTGCCATCTTAAAATAATAGTTGGTCCTTGTTATGGTAAAAAAAAAAAACAAACCTAAAGAGATTAACATGTCTATTTGAAATTTAGCCCTATCTTTACTTACAAAAATTATTTCTCAAGATAGATTAGATTGATTTATATAGTCACATATAATATATATAATATATCCATTGTATATATGAGTCTAGTTTATTTCAACTTCCTCCTCTTGAATTTTTATAAACCTCATAAATAATTCAAGTTTACCTCAGAGGAAGAAAAGGTACTTTTTAAAAAAGAAAGTTGAGAAATTCAATTATTTTTGCTGTAATCACTGAAATAAAGGCCATCCCCCATACACGAGCTGATCTTGTACCTGTTATTTGGAAAATGGTGTAAAATTATGATTGCCCATTTTTAAATGGTATAAGCACATAAAAAGTAGAGAATTTGCCTTTGATTAAATATTGATAAACAACTTAGACTCAGCGATCATTAGCATGAAATGTCTTCTACCCCCTCTGTGAAATGCTGGCTGATTTAGTACCCCCAAAGTCTCAAGAAATAAAGTAGGTGAAGGTGAAGTGAGACCCTAGATATATTCTTTTCATTAATAAGATTGGAAGACTGCCCTCGGTCCCGCTTACAGATAGACATATGTTCACATGGTACATCAGCTTCAGTGCAATTTCACAAACAAGCAAAACAAACAAACAAGAAACGTTGCCCTCTTTTAGTTTCCCAGAGAACCCAGACAAGCTTGAGAATTTATCATTTCTCTCTCATTGGTACTTACGACGACAAAGATGGAGAGCCCTTCATTCTCAATCCAGTTCCCCATGGTGACAGACGTTCAATGCCTTGTGTCTGCTTCTCTTCTTTGCTCTGCTTCTTCTTCCCATGAGGAAATGAAAACAGCAGCCTGGGGCAATCAGTTTCCTTTTCTATTATCAGAAATTAGCTAATCATTGGTCAACTGAAAATCTTGTTTCCAAAAGAACTTTAAATCTTTAAACCACAAAAAAGCTGCGGAAAAAGGTTCCATAATAATTCAATCATAACTAAACATAGTAGGAAATGAAACCAATTTCTACAACTGAGAGACAACAGACCAATGATGGGATATATTTTACACATGGACTTAACTTTTTGACTAATCAGTTTTTAAGTAGCCGCTTTGAAAAAGTCAGTCAACTAGCCATGACTTCGTACTGGATAAAAGTCATTAAATAAATATCTTTTGACAGGCTGAGCAGCATTTTACAGTCTTGTTGAGAAAAATAATAATAATAATGATGGTTGATATTTATAGCATGCTTACATCATGCTAGTTTTCTAAGACACGTGTGTGCGCATACACATATATACACACATGCGTACATATACAAACATAGCTACATAATAATTGATATATATGTCTGTGTAAACACATACACACATGTATTAAATTTAGTATACAAGTAAATTCACTTGATTCTAACAATTTAACCCTTATAAAGTAGTTTTTTAGAAGATTTTTTGATTTTTTATTTAAATTTGTTAGTTAACACACAGTGCAATATTGGTTTCTGGAGTAGAATTTAGTGATTCATAAAGATTTTATTTTTAAATAATCTCTACACCCAATGTGGGGCTTGAACTCACAATCCTGAGATCAAGAGTCACATGGTCTACTGACTGAGCCAGCCAGGAGCCCCTAAACTAGTTTCTATTACTATGATTACACTTAACAGATGAAGAAATTGAAACCCAGAGCACTTAAGTGACTTGGCCACAGTCATGCAACTAGGAAAGAGTAAAGCTGGGATTTGAAATCCAAGTGCTTTGGCTATACTTCTAAGCAGATACCAGAAAAAAAAAAAAAAGGCTTAACTGTGTCAAACCCATCCAAAATCACTCCAAATACAACTACAGGAAATAAAAATATAACAAATACTGCAAAATGTTTGGATGACCATAGGATTCCTAGGAAGACATGACATCCTCTAGACTAGGTATGTACACAGGGTCAATATAAAGGTACATCAGATGTGGCTGAGGCCAAAAGCCAGATTTAGCATTTTTTTTTTTCCTGACTACTACTCTGTCTTCAGGTCATGAAAGATACAGGAGGGTAGGATGGTAACCCCAGTATGAGATGAACGCTGACAAATTACACAAGGGCAGTTGTACAACAGCTCCAGTTAATGAAGAGGTAAAAGCAGAAACAGCAGGGCCAAATGGGAATGAGAGAATCAGCAAGAGAAGCGTGGACCGTTTTGGTGGTTGTTTATTTATGAACCACTTGAGACAGCCTACAGAATTAGGACAATTAGTAAAGTAACATTATTTTGCACTTAAATATTTTAGGAAGTGTATTAAACTGTGACCTTCTCCATTGCTCTTGGATCATGCGCAACCCACGTAAAGGACAGATGGCTTCATGGTTCCGTTCCACACAGAGGTGAATTCGAAGAAACACAGACAACGAAAACATGTGCCCCGTTATTCACCTCTTTGTGCTGAGCTCTACTCCCCGCCCTTTCCTTGCGCTGCTCCGTCTCAGGGAGAACTGCATGTTCCAGGCTCCTTGGCCCTCTGGCTTCTGGTGTGATCAGCCAACCGGGAGGACGAGGAGCAGGAGAGAAACCCGCTTGTTTCTCCCCACAGCTCTCTGCTTCAAGTAGCATTTCTGAAGCGGCTGCATTTCCACGAAGGCTCCAGCTTCTGCCAGCTTTTCCCTCTAGAACATGAGTTCTGGGGGCGCCTGGGTGGCTCAGTCGTTAAGCATCTGCCTTCGGCTCAGGTCATGATCTCAGGGTCCTGGGATCGAGCCCCGCATCGGGCTGCCTGTTCAGCAGGAAGCCTGCTTCTCCCTCTCCCACTCCCCCTGCTTGTGTTCCCACTGCTATGTTTCTCTTTGTCAAATAATGAATAAATAAAAATCTTAAAAAAAAAAAAAAAGAACGTGAGTTCTGGCTCCTACCAGATGGCCCTGCCTTCTGGGCTTGAGTTATACCATCTCCTCTTGGTGTCCCCCCAGGGTGGTAACCACTTCCTGTAGTTGTTCATCTTTGTGTTGCCTCCACACCCATGTGGGGATTCTGCATTTTCCCATCATCCGTGCAACAAATTCCTAGCATGAAATTACCTGTGTAAAAATGTAGTGCTTTGGGGGCGCCTGGGGGTTCAGCTGGGGAAGCACCTGCCTTCGGCTCAGGTCATGATCCTGGGGTCCTGGGATTGAGTCCTGCATCCTGTCCCTGCTCAGCGGGGAGCCTGCTTCTCCCTCTCCCATTGGCCCTCCCCTCTGCTTGTATATATATACACACATACACTCTCTCTCAAATAAATAAAATCTTTAAAATAAATAAAATAAAATGCAGTCTTCTTTTCCTGGCTGGACTTTGCCTGATACACAAAATGTAACTGAAGCATGTACTCATTTTCTTATGTAATTAAAGAAGTGAGGCAAGGAGGGGAGGGATACACCAGCTTAAACATCTGCTCTCCTGCTCTCTGCCCCGCTCAGGCTCCTCCACAGGGGTGGGGCGGGTCCTGCAAACTGCAGCTCCTTCAAGCTCTGTGAAAGTTACCAAAATCTCCTCCTCCCTACTGCCCCCCACCGCTTCTTTCCCCAGCCTGCTGCTCCATCTTCCTTTATCTCATCGAAATCTTCAAGCGTCTCCCACATTTTCTCTTTGGCCTCCCGATGCCTCTGCTCTGCTGGGGAGGCCATGGCAAGAGGACCATGAATGCACATGTGTTAAGAAATAATGCTCTTTGTTTCACAAAAACCTCTTTCCTGAATGTTTTCCAACTCCCTTCCCCTCCCTCCATGAGTTGAGAGAAAATGCAAAAGAGAAAGGATATTTTCCGTGGGTAATCAACCATTCCCTCCCATCGCTTTTATCCCCCCTTGTAAAAGTAATCACAGGGCTGTGAGTAGAGATTTCTGGAGGGCCTTAAGGACCTCAATCAGTTTCACAGCTGGAAGAAGACAGATCAGTTGCAAAAAAAAAAAAAAAAAGCGAGGGAGGGGGGAGTAAAAGCTTTCTTTTATGGAAAGTTCCTTCCCTTCTGAGAATACTGTTCAAGCAAATTTTAATGTGCACTGCTCTTGGAAAGACAGAGGGTTTGATAAAAAGCAACAGGGATATATATGTTTATAAAAAATAAAATTATATAAAAAAAAGCAACACAAAATAAATTTAAATAAAAGTTTATTAAAAAAAAAAAAAGCAACAGGGAATGGTTGACTGGGATTGACTGGACCTGAAGAATAAAGAAAACTGAACCCCTGTATCTTCTCCGAGCCGTTTTGGCTTCCACTGTTTCCTAAGCTCTTAGTATCAAGCCAGACTTTGGCGAAAAGAAGGCAGTACTCACCCACCCAGTAGGCAGTCAGGAGTAACACCCTCGGATGTGACTGAAATCCTAGACACCTCTGGCTGAGAAAAAAAAGGAGATAAGCAGACCCAAGTCTCCAGGAAATTCCCTGACTGTGCATCCCAAGTATAATTCCTTCTTGATTTTTCAAATTAAATTAAGCTCCTAATTTATTCCCAGAAGTAAGTGTGAAATTGCTGAAGAAAGGGAGGTGTGTTACCACACCAAGATTCCCAATGTGTTTCGTTCCTGGTGATAGGAGAAATGGATTTCTATACCTTTTTTGTTTGTTTGTTTCTATACCTTTTTTGTTTGTTTGTTCTTTGAGAAAGAACAGGTGCAAGGAGGGAGCCGCAGGGGTGGCGCGGCACAGGGTGGGGAGGGGCAGAGGGAGACAGAGAAAGAGAGAGAGAGAATCCTAAGCAGGTTGGACTCTCAGCCCAGTGTGGAGCCAGAGGCAGGGCTCGGTCTCAGAACCCTGAGACCATGACCTGAGCCAAAATTCAGTGTTTAACCAAGTGAGCTACCCAGGTACCTTGACTTCTGTTCCTTTTTTCTCAGCTGCGTATGCTGTACTTTCAAGAAGTGCCATACTCCCACTCTGGATGCTTCTATGAGTTATGTGGCCCTACTTTCTTTGCCTAAGGATGACCCGTGAGGGGACTTTACCTCCTTGAACACAGTATTTGTCCCAGGGGTGGGCACTGGATCCAAAGAAGGCTGTTTAGAGTTCTCGGCCTAAGGAAGGAGTCGTTTGAATCCTCCGGTCTGATCTGCCAAGACACTTGGACATCTTTGTTATTCTTTTTTTTTTAAGATTTTATTTATTTATTTGACAGAGAGAGAGAGAGAGAGAGAGAGATCACAAGCAGGCAGAGAGGCAGGCAGAAGGAGAGGGAGAAGCAGGCTCCCTGCTGAGCAGAGAGCCAAATGTGGGGCTCGATCCCAGGACCCTGAGACCATGACCTGAGCCGAAGGCAGAGGCTTTAACCCACTGAGCCACCCAAGCACCCCCATCTTTGTTATTCTTAAAAGACTGGGTTTCTTGGGGCTGGAGATGAACATGAAGGACTTTTATTAGAGAGTGCCTCTGCAGGTAAACACCCATGGAAAGGAAAGAAAAATAAGAAAGCAGGAGTGGGCAGAAGGGGAAGTTGAATGATCAGTGTGTGGTCCCAGTAAGCCCTCAGCAGCCCTGTGGGGAGATCTGAAGCCGCAATGACTCCAAATGCTCTTGGACAAGACGGCTGTCTTCATTGAAACAGTCTGTGCTGTAGCTGCTGACAGCAAGGGAGTAAATCTTTGGTTCCTGAAGTTTGGCCTTGTGGCCACATTATAGTATCAAATCCAGTTACATAAGCCATTAATTCCCACCACTACCACTTCCCGCTTTTAAAAAACAGTTTGAGTTGACTTTCTACCATTTATACCTAGAAGGGTTCTACTAACGCATGGTGTAATGAAACCCACTTCTACTTCGTAACCACAGTTTCAAAGGTTAGTGAAAGTGGAGTACAGCCGCTAGAAAGGGATTCACATGTTCTATCCCCTG